CACACCTCTCAACCTTTTAAGCTTACTGTAACTGCTTCGAGATCCCGAAAAACACTTTCCAAAAACACTTTTGCAAATTTGCAATACGTTTGACCACATACAGACATGGATCCAGACACACACCCAGCCTCACAAGTGCTTGACCTCCATGTCAAACTTTAGACTCCTAGGGCGAAAACTGTGGCCTCCAAATGATGGGGACATATTAGTTGGCTGACCGACCAACACCGCAGTCTTTAGAGCTGCTTGACGCAGATAAAAGCGTTCGGAATACCAGTGGAAATCAGTTGCACTCCAGACAATTGTCTGGCTACCTAACATTTATAATCCTGGATCATAAAACACAAGGTGTTATGAGCAGGTTTGTTTTAAAATAGGACCGTCAAAGAACTACAGTATGATCATTGACTCTCTGTTATGGAGATAAACAAACTGACACAAGCAATTACATGTTGTCTAACAATTTCATTTTTGCATGAATACCTTCATGAAGTAGTTTTGGTGCTTTTGCTCATCCTCCACATTGATCACTATAAATTATACGTATTGCTCTAGTCTCTCTTGACAACATCTTTGTCCAAAATAAGTAGGCCATAGGTCTGGGAACGTTCTGTGCAGCCTTTGCGGCTGAGAGCCCTGCTAACTGCTGTCAAAAAAAGAAAGCTTGTGAGCTTGCTGACCCCATGCAGGTGTGTTTCTGCATCTCAACAGGAGCAGTTCCCATGCACTGAACCATTTTGTCCTTCGCTAAGCATTTGATGCTGGCATGGGGGAGCATGAGGCCATGCTGTTACTTTGTTAGGGTTGCAGGGGTTGTTACCTTTATCTTTGGCTTCCATGGAGGATTTGTTTTCATGGGATTTCTCATATCTGACTGCGTATTCCTCTGGAGAATGCAGATTAACTGGCAATACACTTCTAAAGAGTCTATTTTTGCCCAGCAAGTATTTATTGTAACATAATACAGGGAAACACGGCTCAGGAGGTAATCGGAAGGTTCCTAGTTTGATCCCTGGCTCCTCCAGAGAGTGTGGAAGTGTCCTTGAGCAAGACAATGTAATCCTAACCGCTTATTATTATTATTATTATTATTATTATTATAGCAGCTTTATTTTTTAATATTGTTACTGATGGAATGGAACGGCATAGGTTTGTTGTTTGGCTACCATCTTAATATTTCCAATACAATCAAACATTTACACTTATGCGTCCAAAAGCACAGAAAATACATTGCATACAGACATCACATACAGTACCTGCAGGAAGGGAGACTTGTCCACTCTGATCTACCACAAACATTGCAATTTGTACACAGCAAACACTGTTTCCTTGTTTGTTTGCTTTTAGACTTTGAAATGTTTGCTTTACATTTGTCAGTTGAACACAAACACACCAGTGGAATCAATAGTCATCTCTTACATCCTATACATATTTGCTTGCAACTTTGTAGTTGTCGCTCCCTCTTTGTTTCAACCTCTATTCCCTAAACAGTGGCAGAATAATTAAAGCTGCAAGCTGGAGAAATGTGTTCCTCTCTACAACAAGCCTAACGTGTAATAGACGGGTTAATGGGCTCATTGTTTAGGACTGTAATAAAGAACATGGAAGCTTGAAGTAAAGAAAAAATAAATAAGACTTTGTTGGTAAGAAAAGCCTTTGGGGAAATGTTGGACAGCACCAATGACTGAAAACATGTGTGAAATGTAAAAGAGAAATTATGGATTGTATATGTTTGACTCACTTGAGGATATTGAGATTTGAAATAGACACTGTAACCTCAAACTATAGTTGACCCCAAATACATTGCAGCTGTTTTCACGTTGCCAAATGGTGTTTCTCAAAGATGTTATGCTCACAGATCAAAAGTAAGATCATTTCACCTACATTTCAGTTTGTGTTGAGTCACAAATGCAGACCCTGCTACAAACGTTTATATTATTGAATAGCAATAAAAAGTGTTTGTCAGCTATGGAAAAGATTCATGCAAATAGACATCCTCTGAGCACAATTTGCATGTGCATCAATCAAAACAAAAAGCTGAATTATTTATTATATCAAGGGAAATACTCTGAAACTCAAGCTGCATTGATGATTCATGACAGCGGTCACAAGTTGAAACTGTCCAGCAGGGACATAGACAAATAACGTGAATAGAGAACTGAGTTACAATGCTAATTGGTTTGCAACTAACAGAGCTTTGTATTCAATTTTTTTTTGAGCAAATCCTTTTTCATGATATTCTGATGTTATCTTGTCTGCCTTCCATACTGTATGAGGGGATCAATAATCTCTTTTTAAAAAAGTCCAAGTTCCAGCTTTAATGTAAATATCCTTCCAACATTAAGCTGCAACATAAATGTACTTAATAGTACCTGAAAACTACCGTAGGGCATGAATGCACCACTGCGTATAGCTAATTTGTCTAGATGCTGCCTGCCGTTTTCAATGACCCATTAGCAGAGCACGGCTCTCTTCGGTTTGCCCGGCATCAAACAGCAAGGCACCATAAGAGAGGAGATGCAGGGTTTCAAGACAACAAGAGACTAATGGTGAGCCGAGAGCTGCTTTTGAGAGAAGACTGACAGGGTGAGAGGTCCACAGAGAAAAGGCAAGCATTCATAGAACAGCAGGAGAGAAAAGGCTTGTCTAATCATATTCCTCCCATTCACAATCAAATGAAAAAAATCAAAACAAATCATGGTGGGCACAAAGGATGCATGGAACAATAGAACAAAGGGTAAAAATGTTCTTCGCTTTAAAAAGATACTTCAAGCCACACTCTCAAAATGTAAAGACTATGAGCACTGTACCTGAGGTAGTAAATGAAAGGATACATTTCTTTATTCAGAAATGCAGCTCAAGGTCAAAACTAAGTGGTGATACAACAAGCAGCTCTGAGCTGTGAGGCCAGATTACACAGATAGTACCCTGCCCTTACCACACGCTGAATCATAAATCATGCATAGTATTTTGGTAAGAAAATCACCACCGCATTTGCATTTGCTTGTTTCCGATTATCAAGGACATCAGTGAGCCTCATCTTCATTCATATGCCTGACTTGACAAGATAAAAATCACATTATGTGTCAAACAGATAAGCATGTTACCCCGTGTTCTGCATCGAGTAGCTTTGTAATATTTCATTTCACTCCGAGGTTCAGCTTCTGCCACAACACATCAAAGTTAAATGTGTGCTTGTCTCTTTTGAATAATATTTTATGGTCCAATATTTTTGGACCAGTCCACATGTTATCCATCGGAAAATTCACATGATTAATGAAAGACGGAGTGGGAGGTTACGATGGAGCTACTGATAGACACTTGTATCGAGTCAGACTGCTTCCTACAATGCACTATACTCACTGGACCGACGTGTCTGACATATGCAGCCGACCGAAATTAAAACTTCTGCAGGAAGGCAAAATGGAAGCTGCAATTACTGTTCCATTGGAACTACTCAGACCACAGTCCAATTACTTTAATACACTGTGAGTGATGTTTAATTTGTCTTTGAGCAATAAAAGCAGGATCATTCTAATCTTCACTATCGAGTTTACATTTTTATAAAGCGAGGTAGACAGCCTGAGAGATTCTAAAAAGCACTACACTGATAATTTAAAGCACTCTTACCAAAACGCTTTTGTGGTTTATGAGTTACAGATCAAATACGCAGTGGCTATTCAGTTCCCAAGACAGCCTGATGAATATGGGGAGATTGTCCCATCATAAAACAAAATCCTGTTTAATAAACATTGCTTCACGGCACCGTTTTTTGTTGAATAATTGTATTTATTGTGGAACTATTTCGATTTTGTCAAGCAATATACATATACTAGTGAATCACATAAGACTGTTTTGCTTTGTTATTGAGGAATTGAGATCGTTTGTCAAAGTAAAGACAAATGATAGTGTAATTTCTCTCACTTCGCATGAGGCTCTTCTGAGAATGTGTCTCACAGAAATAGCTGCGACTGAAATCACAAGATTGATGCGAGAAGTAGAGCTTGAAGGTTTAAGCAAGTTAAAGTTCCACTGGGTCAAAATCAAAGAGGGGTTTAAAGATCTCTGACGAGTTTTTCCCTCCTTCCATTTATCACCGCGTGGCAGCAAACTCTGCTTTATATAACTGCTAGGTCAACAGCGGCATGGGATGAGGTCATTTTGCATACATTTCAGATAGTCATATAAAAAGATATACCATGGCATGTTTAGATGTTAATTAAAAATGGTTTGTACAGTATGAGCAAAGTCATGCTTTCACTGAAATTGGCACACTGTACTTGTTTACAGTATACTCAGAGTTCAGAAGCACAGCAGGGTGATTGTCTTTTGTGACCAAGCTATTTTATTGATTTCATTTCTAGTGAGCAATGCCACCATAGTAACATGCTATGCAAAGACAGGGGTGGGGCCGGTTATATCTTTGTAAGTGGAGAAAAAATGCAATTTCCAATGTCTTTGCAAAAATAGACCTGGTGTTATTTTTTAAGAAATGTATTTAGCTCATAGTGTATGTTAGGTTAGGTTGAGAAAATAGCTAATGGGTTATAATGCTAGAGGAATCATTTTCAAAAATAGTTTATTATCCTGAAAATATGTAATTGCAGTTATGATTTGTTAAGAAACACACAGCATTTACAAGATATTTGAGTGGTACGAGAAGAAAATAACTCAACACTTAAAATGCAATATATTCTAGAGTTCTAGTCAAATCTGTCTAAAAATGGAAACCTCGTCAGTAAATAAACCTTTTCTACTTCCTAAAAACAGGTTTCAACGCTTTTCAGTTGGAATTAATCACAACAATATTTAGGACACTCTTTCAAAATCATAAAGGGAAAAAAAAAGCTGATTTTGTTTTCTAATAAACCTTAAAAATATTTGTTCTAACGTTTAGTTTGTTCCGTTTAGAGGACAGAATGACTTTTATCAAAATTGTCAGAGGCATTTGTGTACCACCAGTCCTCTCCACTAACTCCCCTTTTACCATGTCTCCACAGGTACGCAATAGGATGGTGTTTGGCGAGGCAGGAGGGCACAGCTACTTGGTGGCATGCTGGCAGCCCATCCTTATCCTCATGCTGGGCACCGTCCTCTCTGGCTCCACCACCGGTTGCCCCTCCCGATGTGAGTGCAACGGTCAGGAGCGTTCAGTCGCGTGCAATCGACGGAGACTGGCAACTCTTCCTGAGGGCATCCCCACAGAGACTAGGCTGCTAGACCTTAGCAAGAACCGTCTGAAAACACTGGGGCCCGAGGAGTTCATTAATTACCCTCAACTGGAGGAGCTGCAACTCAACGAAAACATTATTTCGTCCATTGAGCCAGGGGCTTTTGGCAATCTCAATAACCTTCGAACTCTAGGATTGCGTAACAACCAGCTAAAGCTCATTCAGCTGGGGGTGTTCACAGGCCTGACCAACCTCACCCAGCTTGATATAAGTGAAAACAAAATTGTCATTCTGCTCGACTACATGTTCCAGGAGCTCTACAACCTGAGGGCTCTGGAGGTAGGCGACAATGACCTGGTATTCATCTCACCCCGATCATTTCATGGCCTAAGCAACCTTGAAAGCCTCAACATTGAGGGACGCAATCTGGCCTCAGTGCCCACTGATGCCCTGAGCCATCTGCATAACATCTTGTCACTTCAATTACGCTATCTCAACGTCACCGTCATGAGGGATTACTCCTTTAAAAGGCTCTATCGACTCAGAGTGCTGGAGATTTCTCAAATGCCTGCCTTGGATACCATGACCGCAAAATGCTTGTATGGACTCAACCTCACATCATTGTCCATCACAAACTGTAATCTTACGGTCATCCCCTACCAAGCCATCAGTCACCTAAGGCATCTCCGGTTTTTGAATCTGTCTTTCAATCCCATTCATACCGTGGAGGGAAACAAACTGTTCAATCTGCAGAAGCTCCAAGCTTTTCATTTGGCCGGTGGAAGATTAGCTGCCATTGAACCCTACTCATTCCGAGGGCTCAACCACCTCCGTGTACTCAATGTGTCCAGCAACAGCCTGAACACCCTAGAGGAGTCTGTCTTCCACTCAGTGGGAAACCTGGAGACTCTGGCTTTGTATGACAACCCGTTGGCCTGTGACTGTCGCCTGCTCTGGGTCTTTCGCCGGCGGTGGAGGCTCAACTTTAACAGACAACAGCCCGTGTGTGCATCACCTGACGTTGTTCAAGGGAAAGAGTTCAAAGATTTCCCAGACATTCTCCCATCCGACTATTTCATCTGCCAGAAATCAAAGATAATGGATTATAAGGTTCAAGTAAGCCATGTAGATGAAGGAACTACGGTTAATTTCGCTTGCAAAGCTGAGGGAAATCCAGGCCCTGTGATAATGTGGCTCTCCCCTAAGAAGAATTACATCACTACCAAATCTGCAGTGTCAAGACTTTCTGTGTCTAATGAGGGCACACTGGAGGTGCGTTACGCCCAAATCCAAGACAACGGCACCTACTTGTGCATTGCAAGCAATGCAGCAGGCAATGACACCAAAGCTGCTCACCTTTTTGTGCATAGCTACTCCCCCAATTGGCCCCAACAGTCAAATAAGTCATTTGCCTTCATTTCCAACCAGCCAAGCGATGAAGGCGCTAATGTGACCCGGGCCACCATTCAATTTCCGTTTGACGTTAAGACACTTATAATTGCAACCACCATGGGATTTATCTCTTTCCTTGGAGTTGTTCTCTTCTGTCTTGTAATATTATTCCTCTGGAGTCGTGGGAAAAACAATATCAAGTCGAGTATAGAGGTTGAATATGTGCCACGTAAAGAGGAACCAGAGGAGGCCAGTCCAACTGAGGAACCCATACAATTCAACATGAAGATCATGTGAACCTCAAATGGAGAAGCTTACAAACAGCAATCGGGATTCATACCACCTTTGCTTCAAATATGTACTCAGTTAGTGAGCAATATAAATTGCACAGCAGCAAACGCATCTTGACAAAAGACCCTTGAATCTTTCTTTTTTTTTACTACATGGACTGAAACTTTAAAAGCAAATGTTGAACTTCAAATATTCAAATTTCTGTATATATGTATTGGCAATACTTTATCAGTATGTTAACATGCACTCAACATATTCCTTTGTCAAACTAAATGAGTGAAATAGTTGGAAAAAGCACATGGATCACAGTAGATGGATTGGCAAAAAATGATATGTGGGTTTGTGTCTGGAAGGATGTGGACATTAGTCTGCAGATACGGTCTAATTATAAGAAAAACTATTATAATTACACAATAAGAGAAAGATATTTTTGTTATGATCTTGTTGCCATGTTTCGCTGTTATACATATGTACAAAGCACAATAACCGATGAGAACCTAAGTTCAGTTGCTTATTAAAAATGTGAAAGGAATTTTTGCCATTTCACATAGTCCCATTATAAGCAATTGATAAGTATGACATGAGTATCATATCTATTTTCAAAAGATAAATAGAAAAAGGTAACAGGTTGATAATAAAGTTATTTTGTGAGAGAATATAGATGTACTTTCAATGAAGAAGTCATGAAATTGCCAAGATCAACGTTAAACTTTGAGAAAGAAAAAATCTGCATTGCAAGATCGCAGATTTGGAAATAAGTTTGTAATGTTGAGCAAATAATAACTTGTTATTTAAGAAAATATCTGTTAAAAACAATATGATGGTGGATTAGAAGGACACTTTCTAACCACCCTGCAGGTCTTTTAGAGCAGTAAATGATGCCTTTAACATCATTATTTTGTGTTCTGATTTTTTCCATTCAACTTGGCATGTTGAAAAAAAACATGTAACAGTTAATCCAACAGTAGCGTTTCCCCATTATGTCATAGGCAAGCCTTTTGGTCCATAGGGTTTACATTTGACTGTCTATCAGTTGTATTAACTGGAGTATTTTCTTATCTGGTGACAGCTAAATGATAAGTGTGCATGTTAACACACTGAAGAAAAGAAATAAGCCAGTACGTGATTTTCTCCTTTCTGCCAACAAAGGAAGTGTCTCATTAAATGTATTAACATACATGTTCAGCTATACATATTCTTTCTGTATTTCATTATGTTCTTGTACAATATGATATGGCACAAATGTAATACTTTTAATGGCTGTGAGTTCTGAACATATTACCATCCAAAGAGCAGATTAAATATTGATGTTTTTCTGATGTGACCAAACCAGAATGAGTGTTACAGCTCTTCAAAGTACCTTTGAAAATCATCAGATTAACAATTTGTCATCAAGTGCAACAAACTTAATTTGTTTACTGATTTGGCAGCTCAATAAGCATAAGAACTCAGAGTCCTGCGGTTAAACTGTCACTGGTGCATCTATAAAAACGCTGACATTATTAAATTGTTGCTTTAAGTAACCCATTTTCCAGCTTTCAGCTGAGCAATACCCAATGTGTAAGGGGTAACATTGAGTTTAATGCCTCATAGGGATTTTATGTTGTCTAATTAATTTCACACTCAAGGCCTGCTCTGAAGATAATGTGTTCATTAACTCTTAAAATACTTGTTTAAAAAAAAGGGATGGGCAGATGAAAATTCTATTAAAATAAATACGATTTTATACTACCGGGTGCTTATTTAATGCTAATTTAGTATAGAATGTGACGATGCGTTTATCATCTATAAGTCACGTTTACTCCTGTGCTGCAAGTAATGACCACAGAGCTCATTGCTTTAAATACAGAGGCTCAAAATGAAGCTCACTTCATTGAATACCAATTAAATACTCATATTACCGATAAATGTTAAAGGTCCCATGTCATGCTTACCTGTGCCCTTGTGTGTTATGAAGGTTTTTATTCATGTAAACGGTCTGCAAAGTCACGAACCCTCAAAGTACACCCTATAGCGAGTAACACTAACACAGAAAAGACCTGTCTATGCTGCCCCCAGAACGCCTCGTTGGAGATTTCTCTTTTTCCATTTGTTTCTTCCGTGAACCGCATGACGTAATGCGGTTCCAAAATGAACCAATCCGCGGAGCTCCTCACACACCAGGAGGGGTGGGAACCTTTAGCGTACATTTTCAACTAACAGGGAGTCTGGTTGGTACCTGGTTGGTACCAACCCTGGTTGGTAATAGACGAGTTGGGATCGCGGAGAAATGCTCTCTGCAGACCCATTCTCACAGCGTTTATAAACCTTTTTCTTACTCAATATCAAGCAACACTTATTGTTTTTACTTCGGCTATGAGTGTTTGTGTGTTGTCAGGATGGGGGCAGGAGCTCCAACAAGCCGTTTAGGACAGAGTGAATACACATACTATACAGAGATGCTGTATGAGAAACCAATGTGAGTTTGGAAAATTGCACAGTATAAATCTATTTTAGTAGACCTCAAAAATGGAATTATGATCATTAAAAATGGCCATGACATGGGTCCTTTAATATTTGCCAATGTGGTCATAAAATGTCATACAGTGTGTGGTACAGAACTGGTAGTAATGTGACACCATGCGCTTGTTCCAGGGATGTATGTATTTGTGCCCTGTAAACCAAAAAGCCATGTCAAAGTGAGATCAGGTTACCATGGTATCCTTTTTCCTTTTGTCACACTTGGCTCAGCTTTCATCAGTCTAAGCTGCATATTGTTAGGTTCAGCCCTCCTTTGAGCTTAACACACAACAACATTCATACTAAGCACTGTAAGTGTGTAAGCTGTGGCAATTCCTAAATTGTGCAAGCAGCCACTTATCCTACTAAATGTTTGGTTGTAGTGATAACAAATGCTCAAAACAGAAACATACCATTCAACTGTCAACTTCACACATTACACTGAAGGCTTAAAAGGCAGAAATACGCCTGGTCCTGTTTTAAAGCAGTAAATGTCAGAATGATACAAAAAACATCATCACAGGGACATCAAGAAAGAATGTGCTTGCCGACAGGCTTATACAAATAATGTTGTTTTTTCTTTTTAATCGCATTATATTATCATGATATCATATGCCAGTGCAAGACATGTGCAGACCTTATGCAGGTTATATAAGAACGAAGTAGAACCAGTAGAAGGTCACTTATGTATCAAGACCTAACATGAGACTGCCTGTATTTTTCTTATGGTTGTTTGTAACAATCACTAACCAAGCTCATTGTTCTCTGAATGGAAAAGGTAAAACATGAAATATTGGTGAACCTTTGCAATTGTGATTACACAAACAGAGCTATATAGATACACAAGCTCCTACACTGACTTCTGGCCCAAAAAGGCAGTGTTACATTTCATGACATCCGCATCAATCCAGGGATCGAGTTACTCCATGAAGACCAAAACTGCACTGTGGATTTATTATTTTTCTACAACATGGGGATATGGCTGGAATAACAGTAAGGCATTCTTTAAAGTTTCGAATTTGATTAAATAATTGGTCGTTGTCTCAGTGTTACAGTTCCAGTACTAGACAATGTGCAGGTTTCAATGCTTTCTATGAAAAAAAAAGATATTCAAATGGTGACTACATATCTTTTTGTTTTAGGCAGACAATGTGCTTAACGTTTATGAGAATAAGCTTTTTGTCACGCTCCAGAGAACATGCCGGGACCTGGTGCATCTCAGTTATATGCTCAGTTGGACAGAGCAATAAGACAGCAATAACTATAACACTCGTAAAAGCAAGAAAGCATGAAGGGAAAAGGGAGATTACTGACAGCAGAAAGGCATAGTAACAAAACGATTTTATATTAGGGTGAGTTGTCTTCTTGATGCTTTCATAAAACTTGAGAAAAATACTTCACTTTAATACGGATAGTGCAACCCATGTATATCTGATGGGCTGACACCATACTGTAACTGGCCATATACTATTAGTGATGAAACGTTTTTCCGATAGCACATTGCAGCAGCCCTACAAACATGACAACAGTAGCTGGTTCGTAAAAGCGTAATCGATTCTGTATCGAAACCTTGATTTCAAGCAAGAGACATTTGCAGGCCACACTTGATAGAATTACAGCTGCACTCTGGGCTCATAAAGAATCAACAGTAAGAAGACAGACATTACTGAGCCCAGTAATCACTGAAAAAAATCATGATGCCATCGAGATTTATTTTGTCAAACTTGATATAAAGTGTAAGGGCTGTGAAACCATTTTGTCTAGAGATTATTATGGCCATCAACAAGGGCTACTGTTATGTAAAAGAAACAAAATTGAATATATTCACAAAAGGTTGTAGGAGAGGATATAGAGATTAATAACACAGCCAACAAAGATCCAAAGGGGAGAAAGCTTAAAGGCACTTCATGAGTAAATAATGAAGCAGGAGAAATATACACACCCAAAGGACTTAACATGTTGTATTTGACAGGTGAGATGGAAGCTACATCTGGGGGTTATTACGAGCCGTCAACAATTTAAAATCCATTTGAAAAAAGTGCTTTGTTAATAGAGTGCTTTGAAAATCGCTAAAATAGGCATGTACTATTCACATGTTTTGATCAATTAGATCTCTATGTATCACTTCATTTGTGAAGAGGAGTAATTTGATGCACATCGGATGAAGAAGGAATCAGTCGTGCAGGCTATAAGTTAATTACATTTTCAAGATGGTGTATTGCCTTGGCACTGGACAGGCACAAGATGAACAAGGATCACCCTGCGTCTGTCTCAATGCACAAAAAGCACCCTGTTTGATTAGACCGACACATGGAAAGCCCTGTATAAAAGAAGGTTCAACCTGTAATGGGTTTATACAGTAGCTCTACAAAAAAGAAGAGACATAGGAATATCAAAGTATCAATCCAGTCGAAGGGCTTATACAATACACTAGTTGACCAGTATATTGCCAAGGCCTCTCCAAATACCATTAAAGAGGAACATTCAAGTTACTCTCAGTAACCTCATCTAAATGCAGTCCCTGTAAAACTTGAATGCAAATCTGGATGGGTGAGAAAACCAACTCCATGTCAGCACAGTGTAATAGATAGGTATTAATGCCCCTCAAACTGTTCAGGGAGGTCATTACATGCCTCATGTTTCTGTATGACTTGTGCTATTAACAATTAGCAAGCTGGTTAAAAACCAAACGCCCACTAAGAGAAATGTGTCGATGACTCACATGGATCGACTGCAAAGGAGGCAAAGCATTTTGATCACAGCATGTGCCCTCACTTACTTCTCAGGAATGTGAAAAATGCCACAAGCCAAATTCTTATTTACAAAAATGATCACCTTCGTTTATTACACGGGCACGGTCCTGGAAGTGAGGATGGGAGAAACGGTAAAAGCCAATAAAGCCCTTTAGGAACGCAATTCAGTTATTAATGTTCTTAGATGCAGTTATACAGGGTTTTTCCACACTGGATACTTATTCTCCTTTACCGAAAACACATGTGTAAATGAGAACTGAATAAATAAGTCACGTCTTTATTTATTTCAACTTATATATTGACATTTGTGAAACCTTTTTTCTTATATACAAGTAAGCACAGTACATGTCATCTTCAAGGGAATTCAGACATGTTTTCAACCACTTTTAGAGTTGCTGTCATTACCATCTATAACCATCTATGGTGGAAAGCTTGTGACAGATTTAGGTCATATAACAAAGTGGAAGGATGGCAGTAATTGGAAGTTCCTCTGAGACACAAAGGCATCCATGAAAAGTTGTTCTCAAGCCTCAAAATAAAGAATGGAATAGCAATATATGCGACGGCAGAGTGGAGTGGCACTTCATTAATCTCGCCAAGGGTTCAGTTGCACCCATAAGGAGAACCTTTTCACCTGACACATTGAGTGGATGTGTAGCTGATGTAAACTGTCCAAATGCCA